TCCTGTTCTGCTCTAAGACATCCTGTTCTGCTCTAAGACATCCTGTTCTGCTCTAAGACGTCCTGTTCTTCTCTAAGACGCCTTGTTGTTATAAGACACCCTCCATCAGCTAGTGACGCCTGAGGATGCCCTGCTAACCTTCAGTCCCCCAAGAGCTTTCTTTGGTCTCAATTTATGTGTGTGTGTGTGTGTGTATCACAATATTTAATGGTATTAATTTATTTCCCAGTATCTCCATCACTCAGTATGAAATCTGTGAGCTCCACTTATCACCCACCCCTGGAGCCTCCTCTATGATCTTCTGATGTCTCCGCTGGACGCTGCAATCCCTCTCAAACAGGTAGACAGCGTTACCATGCGTGTCCCCAAACACCTGAACCTCCACGTGTCTGCAGAAACACAAACGAGAAAACTCGCCGTTATTTTTAGACAAAAGTGAAATAAAACCAACCAGTCTGGTTCTGGGGTTGCCAACGTACCTGGGATCTTCTACAAACTTCTCAATCAGCATGACGTCATCGTTGAAGGACTTCCTGGCTTCGCGTCTCGCCGACTCCAGCTGCTCTGCGAAGTCCGAGTCTGACCGGGCGATACGCATTCCCTGCAACATCCGAGGTTTAATCAAGTTCACAGCAGTTACATCATTTCAGTGTCTTTCTGCTTCTTTTCACCTTTCCTCCTCCTCCACGGACCGCCTTGATCATCACAGGATAACCGATCTTTGCAGCCTCTGCCTTTAGCCTCTCGTTTGATTGGTCCTCGCCRTGGTAACCGCCTATGATCGGCACCCCAGCGGCTGACATGATGTGTTTGGATGTGCTGAGGACAGAAATAATAAATAAATAAACAATTACRGCTGCAAGGACATCCGGAGAGACTCCACAACTCACCTCTTGATGCCCATGTCTCGGATGGCCGAGGAAGGAGGCCCGACGAAGATGATCCCTTCATGTTTACAAGCTTCTGCRAACTCCGTGTTTTCTGACAGAAACCCATAACCAGGATGGACCGCCTGCAATCACGAATACACAACGTTTAATGAAGAGAAAAGTAGAAACTACAATCTTGTCTCACAGACATAAAAACTTGGATGACTCTTAACTTTCTGCTTCTAAACTCAGATAAGGAAGAGCAGGGTTTCCCCTAAGATTTTTTTAACCGTGGTGGTGTGGTGACCTCTTATGAGCGCGGGGGG